CATGTGGCACAGATTATTAGGAGCCAGGCCAGAAAGTGACACTCATTCCAGATTCCATTGGTAAGAATTCCATCACATGGCACAACTACCTGAGGAAACCTAGGATATATTGTCTGCATGGCCAGGCGTAAAAGGAGAATATGGATTTTGGTGAGTGAGAGAGCAGTTTCTGCCATACCTTCTTGTAAATAAGTATGTATGCCTTAGTTTGGTATTGTTAATCATATATAATGTTTCTTCTACAGTTCTAATTTTATTACCTACAAAATTAACAGTGGGAAATGAAAATAACAGACTAAATTTAAGACATTTTATTAAGACTAATCTTGAATGGAAAAACAGTTAAAATAGTGCCTTTGGTATCTTATTTGCAGCCTTCTATTCCCTCATATTCCCCCTTCATTTTTTGTCAGGTTTCAAAATTGGTTGCATGGTCACAAAATCAAAGTTGTAGGCTTCTGGCATGCCCTCATGGAGAGTTTTGTTGAACTGGTTCCAGTGAAAAACAGGGAGGGCACCTTGTACTGTGGGACCACTAATGGCATGTGCTGTGTACTGTGATGCTAGGTAAATATCTGCCACCTGGAAAGAGAGGAGGGGGACATTTTAGAAAACAATTTGGAAAAAACAATCTCTTTTTTTCATATTTTCCTGTTCTTTTTACAAGGTCATAATATTAGTCCTTTAAAACAAAATCTTGCAAGCTTCCACATTATGCTTTTCGGTATGCATTTGGCATTCAAATGTGAACTGACTAGTAGAAGGGTATTAACATAGCCAAAAGTGTGAGAACTGTAGTCAGATTACTTATCGGAATTCTAGCTCCAAAATTTATTTTAAAATAACCTCTATCTGACTCAGTTTTCTCATTTATAAAGAAGGCTAATAACCCTACTTCACAAAAATGTTGTCATGAGGATTAATGACAGCAAATGCTTGGAGCAGTGCTAGATAATTAATTCCTCAGAAGTTGTTGCTAATCAGGACAGTAACAAGAGTTATAAGATGGAACTCTATCAAAAAATGAGGTCCATGGTTCTCAAAAACACCTAAACACTGGGTAGCAGCAAATCTTAACCTTAGAGGAGAAAGAAAAAAAATGCCTCAATACTTCGACTTTCTCCGTATTTAAAATGCCTAAAAAGAAAACGATATTTTTCAAGTAAACCCTCAACAGAAATTTTTTTGATGAAAAATTGGCAGGCTCCTGTTTCAGAAGAAAGTAAAATTTGAAAAATGGCAACTTGGCCTGAATTCTCCTAGGCAAGGCAGCAGAAATCTTGTATACTCTGGAATGGATATCACACTTTTGCACACTTTATTGAATGTTCGCAAATACCATTAAAAAGAAAGAAATATGAAAATATTCATTGGGGATTCATGTGTGCTACAACTTTCCATCCACTATTGTTTTTTATGTTATACAACATATTGAGAATAATTAAGGCTAAAGCTTTGCCATCATCACATAGCTAAAAAGTAGGATGAGTTGGATCTCAGACTACTGAAGCATCTCCTATTTAGGTGTTAGGCCGATAGAAAAAAAATTGTGTAGAGAAGTTGCCATTCTTACAGTTTCAGAGCCAAAGAAAAAATAGTCTACTTCAAACAGATTTATTCCAGAATTTAGGATGAGTTGCAAATGAAAAGACACATATCCAAAACCAAAAGTGCAAAAGGATTTAGTAGAATGATTCTCTCCACCAACTAAAACGGCCAACTCATACCCTTAGACACCCCAAACCCAATAGTATATAGGTAAATGTTTAACAACCAGTTCTCTGAGGAAAGAAAGCCCTAAATTGTAGGGTTTGCTGATTTCCATGGTGTAAATACTCCTACCATGGCTGATTCCAAGCTATCGACACAAAGTCAACTGATTTTAACAACCGGTTTGCACAAGCTTGTATGAGTTGGCTTCAGACCACCACTGCAAACATATAAGACACATTATAGCACTTATCAATTCTAACATGGTAAAAACCCTGTAGTGTCTTGGATCTGGTCCCATAAGCTAAATTTAATTTCTGCTTATTGTGAAATCACACTGCTCTCTATAATATGCTCTTTGGACTTTGGGACAGTCTAGTAGAACTTAAGACATCAACATTATCACCTTCATCATCATCATCATAATTGTGCATCTGAGTACTATTCTAAACCTTTTGTAGATATTATGTTTATTTTTCACAACAACCCTATGAGGCAAGTACTGTTATTTCCATTTCACAGATGAGGAAACAGAAACATTGCAAGATTATGTGATTTGTTATTAAGTGGCGGAGCAGGAACTTGAAGTTAGGCAATGGTACCTATCACTAGAATCTCTGAAAAAAGCTGAATCCTGAACTGAGCTAATGGTTAGGAACACTATTGTGCTTTATGCCACAAAAACCTTTGCAGCTTTGCCTTTGAATAGGCATAGGTGCTGGTGGATGTGAAGTTCAAAAGCCTTAGCATGTTACCTTTGTATCATAGCAACCTCCAGGACTTGGGTTAAGTGAGTTAAGGTCCTCACGGCAGCAGATGGTATTGCACGGATCACCCCTACTGTAAGGATCGTTCTTATAATCTAGGAAACAGAGATGGGGACAAGAGTGAGTACTTACTATTCTGAGATAACACTTATCCACGGTAAGCTTTTTGGACCCGTTAAAGCCAAGGTAATCAGAGAGTATATACCCCAGAGGCGGCCTCAGCCCAGCCTGCTCCCAGATACAGAAGTTTCCTTTGGCTTGTACTAGGAAGGGGCAACTGCAAGTCCCCAGCTCCAGGCCCAGCCTGCTCTCAAGAACCTTGCACAGTGAAGAGTAGATGGAAGAGAGAGAACAGGATAAATGTGCATTGATTTTTTTCAACAAAATTAATGCAAATTCGACTTTGATACTATTCACCAAAAATAAAAAATTTAGGAATAATTTTTGTTTTATTGGCTGCTTTTGTCCTTGGAAGGAAATGTGTTTGGGGGTGGGGGTAGTAAAGAAAAAGTACTCTATATGGGTGATTTCTTCTGTATTTTACATATAATTTTTCCAATGATAAAAGCTGTAGAATCTTCTTCCCTGTCATTTTATAAAGGAGGACAAATTCTATTTGTCGAGTATAATATATGTATAGTATTAATCCCGAATATTTAATCCAATAACTTCTTATAATTCCTTCTGGTACAGAGATCATAAACTTACATGGATTCTTTATCCATGGGGAAGAAAAGGAGTTTTGAAGAATGATTCTTGGGAAATGTGCTACGTACTGTTGTATCGCATGATATATTTCATGGATGCCATATCAGTCACTTTCCCTTGGTCACGCCGGAAGATTTTGGCTCGTGGAGCCAGATCATATGAGTAGTCCAAACCCAGCCTCTGAACTAACATTGGATAGCCACTCCAGTTGTAGATTTTTTCATGGAAAGGAATGTTGTAAGAGGGCCAGTATCCTGATTTGGAATGGAAGGAAAGGAAGGGTGGGGTTGACGGGGAGGGAGACAGAAAAGGCAAGAGAGGGAACAAAAAAATGTTATTAATAATAGTTGTTTTTTGCAGAACTGGCACAGGTGTGTAACTACAAAATGATATACAGAAATTAAAACTTTGAATGTGAACCCTGGCAGTCAAACTGATTCTTATAATTTACAGAATTGGTATATCTCTAGATTATTCCATTAGGAGAAAAAGAGGATCAGAATGCTTTGGTTTTCATCCCAAATTCTTAAAGCAATCTATTAACCAGAAAATAACTTTATTGTTTATAGAGCAAAATGTAGCATAACACAAAGCAGTCTGGGGAGCTCACTTAAAAAGGGGACATGGTTAGTAAAACGCCAAAAGATGGTTTCACGATGTGGCCAGGTGCCAATCATGGGAGAAGAGAAGAACTCAGTGCTGGAAATCAGAAAATCTGAATTTTAGGCTCATGGCTAAATAACTAGGTCTTAGGTAGTTAACTTCATATTTCCCCCCTTTCGTTTAGCAGTGGGAGGATAAAGGAGAGTCCATAATATAAGGGCATTGGAGATCATCTTTAAGGTTCCAGCAGGTTTCGACTCCTTTGGCTCTAAGCATTCACAAAGGCTCAGTTTGTCAAAGCTTCATAATGTGCCAAGGCCACAAAGCTCATTAGTCAGTAAGCACTGGACAGCTTTAGTAAAATCAACATTTCGGGACCATCCCAGATTACAGTGGCCTGGGTTATTGCCTATAGGACAGTCAGTCAACACAGGGACATCGCCACCATTCAGTGATTGATTTTCCACCCCCATATTCTTCTCTTATCTCTTGTCTGCCTTTCTCCCTTCTTACTGTTTTATAGGTTCCCTTACTCAAGGGTGAGATTATTGAGACAAAACAAATGACAAGACGTTCAACCTTGCTGATTCTGCGACCCAGAGCCATCATCAAGAACTAAGATAAAGACAACACTGAAATTACAGGCTAAAATCCTACTTATTGCTACAATATATTTGGGTTATATAGACTTGGGGGTTTAATGCCTGGATCTGAAGCCTAGTTCTGCCATTATTAGGTATGTGACCTTAGACAAATTACTTAACCTCTCTGTGCCTCAGTTTCTTCATTTATAAAATGCGAACAGTGATAGCATTTACCATATAAGAATTAATATGAGCATTAAATGAGTTCAAGCAGATGGAATGCTTACAATAGTGTCTAATGCTTGTAAGCATTAGATGAATATTAACTATTATATTCCTCTTTATGTGAGCAGCTTGAATTAAATAAAAATTGGCTGCTTTATACTTCACATTTTCACAAAGATTCATGATTTATAAAAGCATTTAAAATAGAGTATCTTGTATGATTTCACAACTGCTTGATAATGTATAAGTATTACCATCCCTCCCTATAAAGGAACAAACAGGTTCAGAGAGGGCAAATGCCTTCTGACTAAAAGCACCCGGGACTTTTATAGATATACTACCGCTGCTTCCAAAATGCTGGGAAGTTTATGGGACTTTTTATTCTTTTTTTTTTTTTTTTTATGCCTGAATGATATCAATTATTTGATATCATTTGGAGCAAAATGGTCACAATACTGCTTATCTGGAAGTATATTATGAAGATCAAGCAAGAGGACACAAATAAAACCCTGGATGTGTATCTGGTATATAGCAGACTCTCCGTAAATTTAAATCTGTTCTTTCCTCTTCTGGCAAAAAAACAGAAAAAAGAAAAACATAAGGATGGATCAGCATTAGCATTAGCTGCTTTTTTTTTTTTTTTTTTTTGTCTCAGGGTAGTTTTCTTCATGGAATCTAGGGATGGCATTGTGAAGAACCTGACTCTACCATTCCATAATCAGCTTCAGTTCAAAGAAGAAAAGCCTTGGGTAGCCCGCCCACTGTACCAAGCGCCTCCCTCTGGAGGCACGCTGTTACTGTCAGGCTCTTAGGACCTGGGTGGACCAGCCTCCAGGGGCCGACCGCTAGGGTCTCTATTTTGAATTGGTATGCTAACCAAGTAACCACCTAATTATCTGACTGCTCAGGTGAATTTTCCTACAAGAAAAGGAGGCAGATCCACTACTTGGTAGTATCCGATCTGCTTGGCAATGGAAGTTTTCACCTTAATTAATTCTGTTTTATGCATATTATGTGCATTTATTTGGCTTGAGCCACTCCCTCAGATGACTCACTCCAGGTGTCATTACAAAATCAATTTGGGGACTTGGAAAACAGAGAACCAGACCCTGATCCCCAGGGTCCAGACTTGATCTTGGTTCTAGTCCTACTCATCTATCAGCTGATCTATTTTGTTTCCTAATTAGTCTCTTGTCTTCTCTCTGACCTCCAGTCTATTTTCCCTTTTAAGAAACTCCTGTGTCCTAAAGGATAAATGCTAAGCTGCTTAGCAGGATATAAAAGGTTGATATTTCCCCCTCACTACCTGCCATCCTCTTCACAGCCTTTCCTTTAGCCATCTTGAGCTAATAGTTTCTCAGTCCCACCATGGTTTTCATGCCTCTATTGGCATTTCATGCCTCAGTCCCACCATGGTTTTCATGTCCCCTTATCAAATTAGTGAGCTCCAATTCAGGCCTTTAAACCTCCACTCAAATATCATCTTCACTTTTATTTATTCAACACACATTCCGTGACTGAGTGTGCCCAGCACTATGTTTGATGCAGGATAATAGGATTTTCTATGTGTCAGCAATGTGCTCAAGAATTTTAAAAAATGATCTCAATTAATTATCAGTTACAACCCTTTGAAACTGTAAAGGTACACACTCCCACATCCAAAAACTCTTGGGGCCAGATGTGTCTCAGAATTCAGGGTTTTTTGGATTTTAGAACAGCAATGGAGTGCATATATTAGATATGGCATTGCGGTTTCCATGAGCACCTCATAATCAAAAATATTGGTATTTTTGTAGACTAATGTATAAATAGTCTCTCTCGTTTGCTACCAAACGAGTTCTGATCAGGTCATATTTTGCTCTCAAGGGAACTAGGACAAAAACAAACCAACAACTTTTGGTTTTAGAGTTTTGATGTTTTGAGATTGTTTCAAAATTACAACTAATTGTCTGTAGACCTGTACCATAACTGTTGTGTTTCACAGATGAAGAAAGCGAGACTTAGACAGCGGATAACTTGCCTGAGATTTCTGAGGAGCAGAGATTCAAATCGAGGCAGCATGACTCCCAAACCTAGGTTTCAATGTCTGGGCTACATTCTCGCCCCCAGAACTGCCTTCTCTGACCCCTCGCACTGACGACTGCTCGTTTTTTGGTTTCACCAGAGTTTACCACTGCTCTTCACATTCTAGATTCTAACGGCTGCTTAGTGTGCCTTGCTTCCCTACTTGACGGTGAGTCCCTAAAGGTAGGGGACTTTTGTGCCGGCATTCACGCCTTTCCAGTCACCCGGCCAGCGTAGCACTCCCATAAATATTTACTGCATTGAACTTAACTTGGTAACACAAGAGAGAAGATAATATTAGAGCTGTGAGAAGTCATAAGATTGCGAGTGCCTGGCTTTGTCCCAATCTCCACACTGTCACATAAGAGCATGAGGTGCAGGTTTTATACGTTGTACTGAACCCAGTAATTTCCTCCCAGTGTAGCTAGCACTCCTACCCTGTTCTTCCCAGCACATACTCCCCCATCAAACATTCACACGCCACACACTCCCCACCAAATACACACACATACTCACACACATACTCATCACACTTCCAGCTTGTAGCATGAAGAAAGTACCTTTCCGTAGGACATCGGTTTGGTCAGAAAATTCTATATATGAAGGAATTTGCTCCACAATGTACAGAGTCTCTGTGTCAAGGCTATATTTTGGCTTTACCCTCTTCAGGTCCAGGACCATGTACTGATTGTTATAGGTGCCTGAAATTCGGGAGACATGAAGCAGGGCATGGGTATAGCTTTACTGGTTAACTCGAAATCTGAACATATATACGTACCTAAAAGTTATTCTGCAGGGCCACTTACCAGAATTGTATTTTGAAAAGATCTCTGCCCACTGCCTGCCACCATTGGCCATCATATTGGCCACGCGGACCCTTTGCCAGGCCAGGAGAGACTGGGGTGTCACAAACTTTAGTAGGGTTTTATTATACACGCTGTTTGTGGTCTGCAGCAATATCAAACCACTGCTAAGAATGTAAAAGTCATCCAGAGACTCTAAGAATCCTACAGGAAAGACAAATATACAAATCAGCATACATATACATAAACTATTGAACCATCATTAGCATGGAGGTTAACATACACAGTGCATTTTGCAGAGTAACAGTGACTATCATCCTTGACCTTTAGTAGCCTCTCCCAGCTTTGGCTGACTTTTGTGGCAGTTACTCAACTGCTATTTATAAAGGTGCCAGTGAACCTCCAGCCCTGAATTTGAAATAGAAATTTTTTGATTTTATGATTTGGGATCACAAATATTAAATCAGAAATATTCCATTTTCCCAAAATAATAAACAGAAATCGATCCCTATATGCTAGGATTTTACAGGACAACTTTCAATTATTGGATTGTAAGAATATGGATGCCTTCTTTCTCTTCTATTTTCCTGTATTTTCCAAATTGTGCATAATGAGTCTACATGATTTTTATAAGTAAAAAAACTACATTTATAAAAGTGAACTGGTTTTGAAAGTAGGATATTGACATTGTGGGTCATTGCTTTTTTGTAAATGTTGGAGGCAACATAGGAAAATCGGTGAAGCCACAAGTCTTTTGAAAAGGCCAATTTTGGACTTTATACTGTGATGTGTGATGGAATCAAGGAACATCAGACACAGCGGTAACAAGGAGAGAGGATGTGTTGTCATCAGCAACTGACAGTGACGGACAAACTGTCACTGCTAAGCAAACATGAGAGAAGGGCCCCAGCGAGAAAGTTAGCGCAGAGGAACGGGTTCCCCCTGCACTCTATAAACTTCCACCATTTTAATACCACTTCATCACTTTTGCCATATCTGATTACTATTTCTACTGTTGTTAACTTAATATTTTTCCTTAAATTGACTCTCTTTTTAAACTTAAAATATTTAGCTTTGTCACATGTAATAATATCCGGGGAACTATGGATTTAATGTTTTGGGGTTCCCCCCCAACGCAATACATTTCTACTATCATGCCAAAAATACTTGTCCATGAACCACCTAATACCACCTCACCAGCACTATGCATGCCACACACTGAGCAACACCGACGTAGTGTGATGCTTTTGTAATTGGGAAGACCAAGATGAGGCTCAAAGAGGGGATGGCATCTACTCAAGATTGGATAGCCAGCTCCTAGCAGTCCTGGGCCTAGAATACAAGTCCTTGATCCAGACCAGTGCTCTGTGCACTAAATCTGAACACCTGGGCTCGCCCTTCATGGCTCTCCCTCTTTTGGCTCAATGAAGGCTGGAGAAGGAGAGATTCATGGAGGAAGTGGACCTGGAACCGAGTCTGAAGCTTATATAAGCATTGGCCAGGTCTCTACCAGTGAGCATTACAGGTAGGAACAAAAATATAAACAAAGATGTACAGTAGGAATAGATACAGCATCAGAGAGTGGAAGTTTTGGGAGGTGGGGGCAAAGAAACAGAAAATACAGTTGGATAGTCATTCATTCACTCACTCAACAAGCGTGTGGATGGGTAGGATGAGGTCAAATAAAGGGATAGTCTGAAGCTAAAGGAAAGACTTCAGAGCATGGATTGGAAGTCAGAAGGCCTGCATTTTAGTTCCCTGAACTGCCACCAACAAATTTGGCCCTTCTCATTTTGCCTCTGTTTCTTGAGCCCTTCCCCTGAAAACCTGGGACTCAGTAATATTCAGCTCTAACAGCCTAATTTTAATTTTTGGAAATTCCTAAGTAGCAAAGTTACATGTTGAGAGCAGTGTCCAACTTACTCATAATGAGCCTCCCCAGGGCTGTTATTAGCCTATACAGAGGTTTATATAAAGGAGAGAAATTTGCACACTCCAGGTGGTACAAGGCTTGATGACAGGCACCCTTGAATGAAATTTCAATGGGTAACCAACCCCTCTGGGAAGATGCAGCCTGGAAACAGGATGCATTGGCTTCACAGCAAAGTGTGGGATGGATTTCATTGACAATTCATTCACCTCCTGGGAAGGGGTTGTTTTGCAGTGTTCAAACTGTACAGCCATAGTTGGAAGCTTGAGCAAGCTCTCTGGTAGAAAAATCCTTGCAGGGTGGAGTGCTATATTTCTGGCATGATAAACTTGCAAATTCACTCCTTACTGTAGCAACCTCTATGGACACTAGAGGGCAGGCGCTCTTCAATATATGCAAGTGAATAATACATATAACAAGCAGTCTTTCATTTACGAGCAAGACTGTTTATTAAAGATGGGAAAATGTAGGCCACCCACGTTCTGGCACAAAGAGAATGAACTAGCTGGCAAAAACTTCTAGTCGAGCTTAATTCTATAGTGTAGATTAAAAAAAGATTATAAAAAAGAAAAGGCTCAGAGAAAAGATTATAAAAAAGAAAAGTCCCAAAACATTGTGTTATAAGAGAAACGAATGTTCTTTGACTATGTAAAATTATATCCTCATTCTTATTTGTCATTGGCAGTTTTGGAAGACAGACTATTTTAGATCAGGAGAAAGTGAAACACTTCAGTATAGTAGCCAGCCTGCAAATATTTCATCATAAGCTTGCTGAATTTAATTAAGAAGTAAAAGGGAAGCTTTACAGTTAATAAATCATATTTTAAGCTTAAAAAAATCACTTCAATCATAGAAGTAAATAGTGACCACTATTCTCTGATGCCATTTAGACCTATTGTTCAGTACAACCCAGAAACATTTACCCTTCTTAGCCTATCAACTGCATTTAAGACGTATCCATTTGTACACCTCATGCATTAGCAGCTCCAAAGCTCCAAAGACCAAACACACTTCTTCCTTCCAAAAAAGCACACTCAGTGTTGATCAAGGACAAAAGTAACGAACAACTCAGGGTCAATAGTATGGATTAAGATTGTAAAAACAGCTGTGCTGCATTTTTTCACCCTCCCCCTTTTATCCATATTCTCTGCAATGTGACTTAGCAGCATCTCCCATCAAAAGATATTGTCTGTTTCCTCATCTCTTAAATCCAGACTCGATTTGGAACTTGCTTCTTTAACAGAATGTACCGGTTCTAAGTCTAGACCTCAAGAGACCTTGTACACTTCTGCTCACTCTCTGATAACCCTGTTATTGCCTTGTCAACAAGACCAGTCTAGCCTGGTCTCTAGGCTAAGAGTCCACATGGAGGAGGACCAGTCATCTCAGCCAAGGCCAGCCCCTAGCCGGTCAACCTCCAAACATGCAAGAGAGTTCTTCTGAGAACAACAAAGCTGCCAACCCACAGTCAAGCACAGATGCATGAAATGTGCCATCTTAATTATGTAGAAAGAACCACTTAGCTAACCTGTGGACTCAAAAGCAGTAATAATCACACATTGTTTCCAGCCACAAATTTTGAAGGTTATTTTTTTACACAGCAATAGCTGACATAAAATAACAGTGATCCAATTATACAACATATTTTGTTTGGAAACATCTTGCTGCCCTTTGATTTTAACACAGAGGGGAGAATTCTCTTTTCTTTCATTTTAAAGAAAACAAAAACAAAAAACAAAACAAAGCAACAACTTTATGTCATATGCAGCCTTTCTGCTCAGCTTCTTTCTACTGCTGAACAGTATTCCTCCTCAGACCTGTGGGGAGCACCAGCTTGTGCTGGGCTGTCTGATTTCTCTAAGCCAGTCTGACAGTCAGTAAATAAATGTTTATTAAACGTCTGCTATCTCCCAAGCACTGCACAACAGTTCCCAGCCCAGAGACTATATCAGAATTCCCTTGGGAACTCTTTCAAAAGGCACATGCCCAGACTGCCCTCCCTGCCTACTCATGCCCCCTCTGAATCTCTGCCAGGACCCATGCTTTAAGGTTGCTGTCTGCAGCAGGAAAAACTTCTGCTTCCTCACTCTAATAAAAGGAAGCCTTTGGACGCCCTATTGTCCCAGGGCATGAAACCCTACAGCCATTTATTTCTTCTACTCTACAATGGACTCAGTCTTCCCACCTTCCAGCATTATATTTATTTGCTTCTCTTCCTGCCAAGATTCTAACTGGTATTAATCAATCTCCACTTCTTCCAGTGATTATTCCTCAACTAGGCATTTATTGACAACATATTTGCTTAATCCTGCAGTAAGAATGTGATCAATGGAGGATTCACACTATTATGTATTCAATCACATGAAGTCCATGCCGTGGAGTGTGAGTATCTTGCAGTGGTCCACTACAGGGATTAATAGATCTCTTCAAGATGATATGGAGTAAATATAAAGAAGGTGGGTTTATAGTTAATCAACATTCTGTTATCATCCATATCAAAACTGAAATTTGTTTATCTTCAATAATAAATTATTTTATTTACTTTAGATTATGTTATTTGTTTACTGTTTTCTATCTCTCCTATATCATGTAAGCTCCATCAGGACAGGAATTTTTTCTGTCTTGTTCACTCCACCACCGAGAAAAAGGATTTGACACATAGTAGGTGCTCAATAAATCACTGTTAAATCTAAAGAAGAAAGAGAAGATGATGTCGACTAACATTTACTGTGCACCCACTGCACACCAGATACCTTGCTTTAGAAGGATGGATATCATTATTTGATCTTCACAAGAAGAGCACTTTGATGAGCTATTTTAAAAATATTTAGCTACTTAAAGCTAATAAACAGCATTGTCAGGAATAAATCTAAAACTAAATCTTAACACATGCCTTTGCCACTACACTATATGCCTGAAAAATGTGGGAAGAACAGATATGTAGTCATGCAAATAGCAACAACACTTAGACAGGATGGAGCAAATGCAGTAGAAGTGGTTAAGGAGAGAGTGAGTCAGAGGGAGTTGCATATGTAGACAAGGGTGGAGTTGGAGGAAATCACCTTATAATTAGTTAATCAAGAAAAGTATAGAAAATAAGGTGAGATTTCTGGAAAGATGGAAAGGAGGAAGGTTCCTGAGCGAGGTGGGGAAAGATGATCAAACAGGTGTGGCCTGGAAGAAGTCATCAATGGCCTGGGATGGTGACAAAGACAACATAAAGAACAAAAGAAAGGTACTTAAGAAAGCAGATAAATTAAGTGCTATAAAAATT